CACTAATGTACGTGAACAGATGCATATGTGAGGTAAACTTAATGAAGAAACAACTTGTTTACAGAGACTTAGACGGACTACCAACCCTAAAATAAATTTCTTTTAACAAAAGTGACCTTAGCATGTATTGACACAAATTTAAGAATATATACAAATATAGTACAGTTGTTTTGAAAAATACGGGCCAGTAAAACAACTCCAAGTTACAAGAGCAACTATTTTCTTATAGCCCAGATTAATGACTACTTTAGTTAATTTTATTTTCTGGAGAAAATGGAGAGAAACAATCTAATTAGTACTAAGTATACCACTAGTTAAAATGATTAGCTGTAGCCCACTCATGCTGATAAGTGGTACTAGCTGCCCAGATCACAGTGGTCTCAACATGGGATAGCACTCCCGCTTGCTTTGGGTTGGACTCAGCTGAGACAGTTGAATCGTTTAAATTACCCGAATTCTAACTAGCTATATGACCAGACTAGTGATAGCTTCATTTAATTAAACAAGTCTTTTGCTTATAAAACATTTTTTTGTCCAGTTAAAAGTTCCAACTTGTTTGCTTATATGATGCTTAAACATTTTACGCCAGTTGAAATAAATAAGGTTGAGTTGATTAAGTTAGTAGCTTCAAAGCACAATGAATATACAGACTTTTTTCAAACAAAGTCCTAACGTCTGAATTTTAAAATATTTGCAAAACAATGTCAAAATTCATAACAACTTGTCCTATTATTTTATTATTCATGAAGATGATATCATACGCTGATCATTTAATTTTCTCTGTGCTCTTATGCTCATCTCTCTTTGTATTCTTGCGTGCATCTACTTATCCATTATTTTTTGTGTATATCAATTTATTTAACAATGTAAAATTTATTTTTAACTTCTTCAGACGATAACTTGTTAAAACATACATTTACTAAATTATAACATCGATGATCTTGAATGTCAACACAGACATGGTTTGGAGGGAACATAGTTAGGGCATTTGTTATAGTGAATAAAACTGCAGCTTTACATTTACTGGTTGTTCAATAAACTTCATACATTTCCTTGATTGACTGTTTGTCATCTGAAAGTCATCTTTAAACTATTTTCTCTCCATCACACCCTTGTATATAATATGAGTGATTGTTTATATTATCTTGTTTATCGTTAAATTTATACACACAACCAGTTAAGCTTCGTGAATACCTATCATTCAATCATAGTGAGTCAATGGTAAAAAAGTAGTAGGGCGAATAACTTCGTTCACTCAGCCACTTTATTGTATCGTATACTATACATCAAATCATAGTATTTTCGTCCAGACGAGAGAAATAACAGCGTTCTAAACTGTTCTTAGTTAACGGTTGGATTTTCATACTCTAAGCGAACTGTTCTTGAAGTAAAAATTTATACAAATCATTCTTCATCTAAATACATTAAAATCGGAGTTGTACTTGTAATAATTACTGTGAGTGAAAAATTTCTAGCAGGTAGAATTTATAACTTCAAACGGATTACTGAACAATACGTATCGAAAAATTAGGCGCGTAAAGATAAAACAAAAAAATAGCAGAGTATAAATAAAAAAGGGAACAATACAGAGCTGTTTAATACAGTGGTTTGTAAAATGTATTCACTGAAAAAGAACATCTCCTTGTCTTACTAACTTCGAAGGATACACACTGAATGCATGAAGTCATTCACTTCAGAATGAATATATTGCTTTCGACTGCTCAGCAGGTAAGGTAACTGCATAGTACAGTTCTCAAGGTTGAGTGAAGTAACCAAATATTTTATGTTTAAACTGATAACTCAGTATTAGCATTGAGCATGCGTAAAATGCTTAGGGTGTGTCTGGTGTAAAAAGACGACTTTATATCGAGAGTTTATCTCCTTAAATATTTATGGATGTTGAAAATGAAGGAAGAGGACATGGAGAAGGGGAAAGACAGTGATTTTAAGTAATATATTGTATGAAAAATATAAAGGCAATACACTACCGAAAAAAGATGTGTTGCTATGATATTTTTATTTGGTTTTTAATCAATATCTATTTATTAGTTCACTAGTTCCTACGGAGCAACGTATATTGCCTGTACACAGCATCAACTCCGTAGACACATTTTGAACCCTTCTTCAGCTTGATTATCCAGAGAAGAAGAGAAGGAATTTCAACATCTCTATTCTTGAACACCTTGACTTCTTTAGACATGTTGGCCCTGCTAGTAGTTCCCTCAAAGTAATTTACAGAACACTTCCTTGCAGTTCCAAACAACTTCAATTACATCCTTTTTATATAGCCCAGTCATTAGCAATTCATAACCTTAAACCTGATCTTTGTGTTCCAAAAAATTACATGTACTCATTAGCCTTCACATGGTTGCAGTAGTGATTTCCCTTCGTCTTCAAAAACAACCTTTCATTCTACTCTTTAATATTAATGACGTTCCGTTATTTATTTCCAATTCTTATACATATACTATTGTACAGCTTCAGTAAATAAAATCGTTGAAAAAAGAATCCTATTACTTTCCTAAAAGGTTTCGGTTCTATGATTTAACAAGCCTTGTGTCCATGTTAGATAAACTTAAAAGTGGAACCACGAAGTAGTAACAAGGATTATCTTCAAGGCATTTTCTAACGATTAAAAAAATGACATTTTGCATCAACATAAAGGCAGTAATAAATTTTGGCAAACATCTGCATACGCAATTACACATTTAGTGAAGTAGTGAATAGTCTAACCCCACACAACCAGCCACAGCTTGGTTGCTAGTCATTAGCTTCATTAAGCATCACTATGACAGAGTGCTTAATAACCCTGATAACAGGAACTTAAAGGAGACGGGAAATAGCATTACATATTGCACGTCAATAAAATAGTAAAATATTTTTTAAATGACATTCAAAACATGCCTATGCTTGAAGTGTATTCCAAACAAACATGATAGAAAAATAAATACGACAAGAACGATTTCGCCATCTAACAATAATTTAGAAATCACTCAAGTCATGAAGCCGTCACACAATAGATATGGTTTATTGCCTACTGCTGAGTGAATTTTGATTTCTTTTAGAAATACTTCGCAGAACGATAATGCGTCTTTATTATCCAAGAAACGGATATTATTTAAAATATACAGAACCCGTTGGTTGTATTTTCCTCTATTGTTGATTGTTTTTTTCTGTTATGATATCCTTTGACATATCAATGAGATTTTAGTGATAGGTTAATTGTTTGGTTATACAAATTAGAAATCAACATTGTCATTTGTCCTTTCACATGCTTCTTTTCTTTCCCAGATGGAGAATGGTTATGTAGGACTCGACACAATTCACTTATTTTAGACTATGATGAAAAATCTTACTTTTAATAAAGTCAGAAGTTAATGATGGATAGTCCCTAGTAGTGGGACCCATTACACGCGCAACAAGCAAGAACATAAAGTCAAAAATGTTACTACTTTTTTTCTTGTGGAGCTTAATTGCATAGATTTAGTAAAAGACGTTTTATTTTTTTCAATTTGAAATCTTGCTTAAATTATGTTAATCAAACTTATAAATACCTACTGCCTGAAAATCTATTGAAATACTAGCCTACTGTATAGCAAAATCCAAGCTTTGAAAAATAGTTCCAAAATAAACCTTTAAATTATTTTGGTGCTACTTACCATCAGATGAGAGGCTTTTGTTCTCAAAACGCGTTTTAAGCTATCACTCTTTGCTTTAAATGAACACATCGTTAGTTTTGTTGTCTTACTCAGGGTTACCAATAACTACACGACTGGTCAATCTGCATAGTTATGGTGACTCCAGTAATAAAAAGATATAACTGGTTATTGGAGCCACGTCAGAGAACTGAATAAGAAGCTATACCCGTCTTCTGGTTAGATTCCGACTTTATTGCAATTCACAAGTACTTGAGTGAGAGACACGAGTCTAGCTAAATTTTGTTGGAACAAACGTCGAACAATAATTCTTAGTTTTATTGCAAATACAACAAATTGGATAAAGGTATTAGTTGACTGACTTTATGCACAAAAGGATGAATATCGAACTACAAGAAAAATTTGGATGTCAGTTAACCCTAGACCAACAAACCGACCATCAGTCGACTATGGCAACCAAACTGGTCGAACACTCGGCCGATAGTTCAAAGTCTGTGTTCTAAAGTGTTCCAAAGTCATCACTACATTTTTCCTGTGAAAACTTTTTATTTTATTTGAAGTGTGAACTTGGTGCAATATCAATAACAATAAATGAATGAGATAACCCTTAGAAAATAGATAAGAAGTTATCCAAGGAGACGATTTTACGAGAACACTTTTACTGAACTTTAAAAGATACCGGAAACTATTTAACCAGTGGATAACTCGTAATAGTTGGTAGAGAAAAGTAGATTTGGGATAAAGGTATCTAGTGCAGAACTAGCTTAGTCAAGACTGTGAAGCTTCATTATCACAGTCACTACCTCTAAAACCGTGCAACTACACCAGATAAAGTTTGGTAATTGTATTTGTGCTTCTCATACGTTCCGTCGGTAAATAAGTCTCTGAACATTTTAATAAACTCTCAACATTCTTCCGAAATATATCCTTACTAGGGTTGTACTGATTAGGCAGGAGGCAGCTTTTCAGCCTTTGTGTCGATGGTTGACTACAGAATGTATTTTCATTTCTTCTAAAATTTGTCGCTCGTGTTCTAGACTGGAATGATTAGACATTTAGTGATAATCTCGATGGATTCCATAACTCCAGAGAAACAAGTCAAGAGAGTAAATACAAACACTGACGCAGTACACTTATTTGTTGAAGTCACATTATAGCCAACAAAATGTCGAGTTTATCAAATAAAGTTTATTCGAAATAAGCTCAAAGTAGTACATAACTTTGAAAACAGAATTAGAAAACGGTAGTTGCAAAAGCACAATATGAGATCACCACACTAATTTACTTCGAAATTTTCAAATGCTTAGATTTTTATTTTCGAATTTATGTGTAAAAATAACTTACTTTATCGACAAGACAAGGAATATTGAGGGAATTTGTTGCAAATCCCATGCTAAAAACTATAGCTGCCTCTTGACCAACAAATTCAGCAACCAAATCTTCCAGTTCTTTGTGTAGTATCAAACTTCCAGCCTCTTGCCTAGGACTTGCTATACCAACACCAAATTTCTGAGTCATTTTTTCCGTAGCTTCAGTACATGGACCAACAGGATCACCGAATCCTAAATAATTGTATGATCCTAGGTTGAGCACTTTTGATTTTGTTCCTGTGAAACTGATATGAAAGGAAAAAACAGTGAAAGTAGTGAAGCATGCGTTTGATACACTGCAATCTAATTCCAAAGAGTAAATACAAAGTCTAATTATTACCTTTCTTTTTGTAGATAAAACCAGATATACTAATTCCCTTCATATCGTGATTAGTATACGAACACGTTCAATTCCACAACCAAAGACAAAACACGTAGAATCTACTTCATATATCAATAATTGACAGGAAACCTTTGGAAGCTTTTTCTGGTTATAAACTGCCTACAAATAAATACAGTGTTTTCCTACATAACTCGTCTATTAATTAACATTGAGATACCATATAATAAAAATGATTAACCTCTTCTAACAGTCACTTTCGGTTTAAATTACTCGGTGGGAACATCTAACACAACAAATGAGACTGTGGTCCGTTGGTTTAGGGAGCTGACTTTCAAACAATTGGTCACGTGTTCGAACACCACTCCACCTATCGAGGTTTCGGGCAGCCAGGTGTTATCATTAGCTCCCACACAATGTGTGGCTCACTACCTACTGCACGAGTGTTCACAGGGTTGCTGGGTTCACTTTGACCACTTTTTTTGTAACACAACAACACTAGATTCAAATGCGGATAAGGGTTTTTAACCGACAATAACCGCATATCAGTGGCTTACATCCTACTCCCCAAAGACACCTGCCACCAACACTTACTTGGAACAGAACGGTGGAAGACGACAAAATAATTCTATTACAGGTACACTTGATGGCATTAGTAATCCTGTTGAAGGAAAATTATACAGATGGATTTGCATAAGTGAGCTGATTTTTCTACCAAACCTCGCAAACTGAAAATTATTGCAACACTTCAAAGTTTTATTTTAGGTAGGTACCACAGAGTAGTAAGAAGATTTTCCGGCCTCATTTATGAGAATTTGAATCAAAGTTTGATTAAAAAAGACTGGACGGAAGATAAACTTTGTGCTGAATGTCAATCACACATAATGGCGAGCCGAACAAAACGCCATCTCGTGTTTACAAATTTCAAGTATATTTACGAAAAACAAGAAGCAATGTTAAAACCTAAAGCTGAAAACATAATTTGATGATTTTGGTCAAACCATGAAAATTTAAACAAAACTCATTTGGGTGAGCTTTAAACTAACGTAAAGGACACATCATTATTATACACTTTAAATGTGAATGAAATTACTTTCAAAAACACTAAGCAGTTCCCTAGAACAGCAGCAAAGAATTCATAGCGAGCAAAATAAAACAAAAACAAGAAACGATGCACATACGGTTGAGTAATAATTTTAAGTTTTCATAGTGAGCGATGGGACAAAACTTCTAAACGATGTGTTGTAGTAAGGCAAGTGATGCTATTCACTGGTTTTCTGTTATGTCAGCGACTCAATCCAGTTTCGAATATCCGAAACTGTGTCCTACTTCGACACCAAATCACTTACCACAACCGAAAAGATTATAGCTATTTATGCACAGTATGTGTTGTAATAGACTATCAACGTCAGTTTCATTTGACATATTTACCGAAAGAAAGATTTCGAGGTAATTAATTTCGAATAAATCAAGGAGTTACAAAGGGATTGTAGTGTGAATGGTAAGATCTTTGTAATTACCAGTCATAAATCCTTTATTAATGTATTTTACTGGACTCATAAACTTGCGAAAACACAACAGTGCATTATGCGTTGTCGAAAACACATTCTAGACGTAAATCTTGTCAAGACCTATCTCATTTTCAAGTGGCGATAATAACTTTAAAACTACACGTTACAACCCTTCTCAAATGAAACTCAATATTTTCCCAAAAGTGAATACATTCTTGTTACTCCCATCGATCCCAAGATTTCTCAATCTGCTGTCTCAAATAACCTATTTCAAACATCTGGGAAATATTAGCAACGAAGTATGAATTTTCTGAAATAGGTGAAGTTAACAATTTTTAAGTTCATGAATTAGATCTCGATTGTAAATACATGGTGCTCAAATAAATATCTAATGGGAGTTTCTAGATTGAATTTAGAACTGGGACGAGCGGTATCGTTTATCACTTTAAATGACAACTTTGATATAACTATGAGCGACACATTTTGCTCCCAAAGTAACCCCCTGCACCTAAGAAATTGGTTTAACATGCAAGTGGATTGGCATAATTTTATTAGTGAACTACAGCATACATCTTTTGGGATATGCACTTTACTTCAGTTAGTGCTTCTTGAGCAAATGGCTTTGTTAAATACTCTGGCGTACATATACCCCCAAAAACTCAGCTGGTCGGTTTGAAGCAATAAAACCCGTAATACTGACTACACAACATATACACAACAGTCTTTCAAAGAATTAGAAATCAAAATAAAACGCAAATACTTTCCACCTTTGGTACATTCACGCATAGTGTCAATGATTGCATGGGTGTGTTAAGTACAAGCTACACCATATGTTGAATAACATTCATGCTTGTTAGAACTAAAATAACTTGTCAACAGGCATACAACAAATGTGTTCATGAGGGCCTGCGGGAAACACAGCTAACGGGTTGAACACAACACCTTCATATCCACAAAAATGAATATCGATAACTGAAAGAAACTTACTTCAACGTCCATCCACAGTCCGGTGACTTGCGATTCATGACCAACATTTCACTCCCTGGAGCAGAACAAATAGGTCTATTCCAACAATCTTGGACTCGACGATACAAATTTCGGGTATAAAAGGCCTCATATGAAGAATACAATGGAACAAAAGATCTGGTGCGTTCTGGCTCCGTCACTGAGTGATTTTTTAAAATATGAAGAAATCTCAAAAAATCTTGAAGTCGTCCCAAAACATTAAGAATAAGAAAGCTTAAGTAGGTCAGCACTGCTGTAGACAAAGGCGCTGCTTCAAATGACTCATAAAATAATTCCCCTGTCCTAGGACCCTGGAAATTCCGCATACCTCTAATAGACCATGAACAATTATGCGTATCCAAGATCCAGATCGCCCACTCAAACAAGCCGCGTTCAGATTTTGAGAAAGTTGTTGCTAAGCTAAATTAAGGTATTACTGTATTATCCAATATCCAATATTGATAGTACGAGCGTAGAAAACTGATGGTTTTTGGTCTCTCGTGTTTAGTTCTTCTAACGAGTAGAAGTTTCAGAATGAATTCAACGACGTTAGTGCTTTGCAATAGGGGGGGAATTGTTGCTTCGCTTTGTTCCAATCTAGAGGTAATACTACGGTGTTTATCACCGAAAAACAGCTGTCAACCATATCGTAACAGTGAACGCAATTCACTTGGTCGGTTGGACGCGGGAATTGCCACTTACAATGTCGCAACTATCTTCTCAACTCGGAAATACTTCCAGCCGGTGATTCGTAGTCATCTGGACCGTCCAACCGCTATAGTTTTTGGCTGTATTCGGGGATCATTCACCAAGAAACCTCTTTAGTGGTTTATAAATACGAACTTGAAGTGTTCGGTTCGTGATAAAGTGAGCGAAATAGAGTACCAAGTTCCTGCTGCTAAGTTATATACTTTACGCTCTAATCTCCTTTTCATTTACATTATTTGTATATTAAGCCATTTAACTATGATGATATAATAAACTAGGTTGCGAGCCCCAAATCATGTAACGAGGTCTGTAGGCGGGCAGAATCTAGTCTGTGTAGAATAGATGGGCACAGCAATCCCCCACCGTCTAGGATCCCTAAAGCACTGTCACACCAGACACAGGATTTATCAAAGCCAGTAAACTGATGTAATCGGGTTGACGGTAACATGTCCATAAACATACCACTGGTAAAAAATAAAGCACGGAGGAAATGAGCATATCGGCTGACAAGTATAATGGCATATGCCACGCTTGATCTCACCCTACAGGAGGCAAACCACTCAGTCGTCAACAAAGAGCGAAACGATAACCGTGGTGTTTGCGGAGAATCGGTGTCAAGGGCACATAAACCTTTGCGTGTAATATCTGTCTGAAGTGGGCACACTGTAACCGTCGTAGTGGTATACCAACCCAATACTACAGAGTTATGAGGAAGCACTCATGTAAATGGACGTGGTATGTATGTCTAGAGCGATAGAAATCACCCGCAACCGCAGCTGGCAGACCTAGAGGCCTGGTACAGCCGAACATGTTACAAAGCGCGAGCTCTCTTAGTCCATCCTCAGAAACTGGTCAAGCTCCACAAGTGTGCAAAAGCGTCACTTTTAGGGATGGAAAGAAACTAGTTCCCACTCCAAGTGAGGTAAAGTATAGATGCAACGCAGACGATCCAGCGGAACTGAACAACCTGAAGGAATGGACTGTCTTGAAAACGCATGGACGAAAGAAAATTGGGTTAAGGGTGGACCGAAAGCACTGGCCGCCAAGCCCAATACTAGCACCCACAGGATAAGGGAACGGATTCAATCACCCCTTTCAACGTCCCAATACCAAAGGACTCACCCTCAGAAAGAGGAAAACAGTCTGATAAGAAGTGGGTCGACTTCTACAAGAAGCTGGGAATAGAAACCGTAGCAACTAACACCTGCTCCTTCCATGAAGTAGAGCATATCGAAGCAAGCCGCCACCTCCCAGGTTATCAACAATGACGTAGAAGCAGTCGGAGGACATGGTGCTGTCGTCGCGCCGACCAGGCGTTGCAGACTCCTGCCCCATTAGGGTGAAACTACACAAACCTTCGGTCGCGAGGGAGGCGGAGAAGAAATCCTGACACAGTGGTCTGCACAGAGCTGCAACTATGTTTAAGCATGGAATGCCCTAACTGGCAGGCACATCCACAAAGTGTGACGATAACCTCCGTGATGTCAAGTGGTGAGCGTGGCTATCTACAACAATGGAACCTTGAGATTCCCCGCTAGCGGCGTAAGTTGGTTGCCAAGACCTACTCACCTGCAGAGAATTTCCTCAACAAGATTGCTAGCTGTACACTTTGACCGCAAAGCATCACTAATAGATCAAACAGGAGGTGCTGAGAGAGTAAACCGCGATCTTTCGGGCTTGAAGATAGGAAGCAACCTTCGAGAAAACTACAAAAAGCACTGGTCGCAAAAGAACTAGCTAGTGAACTGCCAGCAGACACAACAATGAACAAAACTGCCACACCGACGCCAGGATACCAAAACGGAACAAAAAGTGCAGGCCTGCCAGTCCAGTAACGACTGGCAGTCAGAATCCGATGCAATGGCACACTAGCCTGCAAACAAGCCCCAATATTGCACCAAGCCCAGAACGTAGCTCCATGGCACGCTCTCACAGCAACGTGGGTGATCTTGGGGTTAAATTAAAGCAATGTGCCTTATCCGCAAGCAGATATAATTCTGATCACGGAGACACGGCCTCTATAAGACATCGTGGATGAGGAAGTATTTTTGCCTAACATGACCTTGTTCTGAAAGGATGGGCAGTTCAAAGAAGGCGGGGTGGTTGCCGAGTACATTAGCACTCGCCCGAAAGTTAAGGAAAATGTGGGCATAAGTCTTCCGAGCACAAACTTCGAAGTAAGTTTATGGCAGCAGGACTCACAGAGAAAGCTGGAGAAAACACAAGATGGGGACCAGATGGAAAAGGATCCCCCACTTGACCACATTCTAAGAGGCGATGATCCTTTAGTGGATGATATCTGTGTCCAACCCATCACATGTAAAAACGACGACACGTTGATGAGATTCTCTCTGATAGCCAAGGAGAAACTAACCATAGTCGGGCCGGAAGCGTTCCGCTGTTACCGGAAAGCAGACTACCGTCTCACGAACAACGAACTCCCGGAGGCTGCATGGCCACGAGAATGGCACTCACTATCGATGGACGAGCACTGGATGCATAATACGGATATTATCTGAAGCGCTCTCGAATAGGGTTTTCCGAAATTAATCAGACGGCCACCTCCCAAACGGTCTTGAGTAACTCACGCAACCCAGGGGCAAATACAAAGAAAAAAGAGGGCATAGTACCGGTGGAGCATATCATACAAAGAATCAGGCCTTCTCAGGTACAGGAAGTTGAGCAAATTATATAACATAAGAGATTGTAATGACAGGTACACGTGCCAGGGTGAACCTGGCTAGGCACTTAAGTCAAGATCCGAAAAGTCTATATCGACCTACACCACGACGCAAATCGGCGAATGAGGGTTTAAACCTGATCAAAGAACCAGCCGGGGAACTTCAGAACAGCAATAAGATAGCAGGACTGTTGAGCAGCCGATTCAGGGAGCAACTCGACCCAGTGGTTCATCCACTATCGACGTCTAGTAATGTAACGGGGTGTGACACAAAGCCAATGAACGTAAAGATTTCGTCAAACACAACGCTTGCGAAACTTTCAATACTCAGATCAGGGAAATCACCGGGCTGTGACGACATCAGACCGGTGGTCCCACTCAGCTGTGCCGAAATGCCAAGTGTACCCCTATGCAACCTGTTTACGTATATGTCGAAAGTAAACCAACTCAACGAAGAATGGAAGCGCGCCATCCTTTCGTCAATCTTCATCGGGGAAAACCGAAAAAACCCTTGCGAATACAGACCAATAGTACTACCTCCCACACTTTCCAAGGTACTGGAAAGCCTGGCTGCAGCTGTTGGTTGGGACTACCCGAAAGAGAACAACAGAGTTCATCCCACCCAAGATGGCCTCAAAACCGGGCGGTAGTATGCCACAAACTTGATGACCGCTTCAGATGACTGGACCACTAGATGGGACAGCAACGCCTTCGATGACAAGCAACCAGTTGACGTCATCTTCCTGGCTTTTGACAGCATCCCACGCCACACCACAATAATAATGATTTATTCCTGATCTTACAGGTGCATATCGACTGTAAGGATACGGTTATAACAATTAGTGGTGGTTTAGGATTTGTCCTGGTGCGAACTTGACAGACGCAAAGACAAATCACTAATTATTCGAACTTGTTATATACCCACGAATACGAGACCAAGGAAGAACACGACAGCGTAGTCGGATGGAATAGTATATTTGGATGGTTGTGCCAAAATACCGATGCGCTCCAACTAACTGGCTAGAGAGTCGAACACGAGCAATGCAACGTAACACGACAGCGTGCCAAATGGCGAGGATACTTGACCGGGTGCCTTCAGCTTAGCGAGTCCAGTTAAACTATCAAGGTCGGCATCAATGTCGAAAGTCGTCAAACCCTAGGCTATTGATTTTGGGGGAGTGAGTGACGCTACAGTGGAAAGTCTCCGGTAATATCGAAAAAACTTTTTCACCATCTCTCTTTCACCCTAGATGGTGGAAATCCCCGGTCTACAGGAAAGAAAATTTTACACCACATGTAAATAGTGTACTTCTAGCTAAATTTAGGATTTTCGTTATGCTTTTAGGTTATCTGGCAGAACTGAAAGCCATGTTTAACAATGTGTAAAAGCAACACTCAAAGAGAAGAGGAAGTAACTAGGCAATTTCTTTCCCGAAAAAAGTGACGCTGGCTAAATTATTCTAGTGCTTTAGTGTGAAGGATCATGTGTACTGAGGGAAGTACCATGGTAGATTCGGTGTATTTCTAATGAAAGTAATAATAATAACTTATTCTTTCAGATACAAGTACACACCAGTTCACAGGAGCGATGGTATACTTAGATCACTTTCACAATTTTGGCTGGTAAAGTTTCGCCGCCCAAAGATGATCGGTAGGTTTATATAAGTAGAATCAATGTACAGAACAGAATAGAAAACGGGTATCCAAGGTTTCTACACATAACAGTTTTCCAAGATGAATTTCTTCAATATTCTCCAAAAGAAAGAGAGAAACGTACAAAAATTTTCACGTCGTGTCAGAAATAATTCATTTTCAAAACAGAAGGATGGTAAAGATGGACACTGTATAACTTATCAAAGATTGTCTGGATAATTGTATTTCATAGGATCAAAGCAGGAGAATATCTACATTACGGTAATGGTCTGGTCAGACTTTGTG